TTTTAATTAAGAATAAATAATATTAATTTCCTACTATATCACTTTTATTAGTAATTAAGTCTGAGAAATTAAAAAAAAAAACTTTATGTAGAGTCCAATAAAATCACAGTCAGTCACTCAATACATCCATTACAAAGCTATCAGAATATCTCACAATTAAAAATCCAATTAGTGGAATAATAAGCATTTACATGCGGCTGGTAATACTTATAAAATTTCGACGATACCCAACAACAAAAAATAACTTTACACCATCGCAATTTAAAGAAAATTCTTTAATTGTTTATTCTGTTCTATATGCCATTTCGATTGTTCATTTATATCAATTTTCAGAGCAGTTGGCGCCTTAACCGAAATATCAGTTGTCTCGCATTTAACAAAAATTATTTTAAATCCACAGCAGAACCAGGCTGAGTTTGCTGTTACTCACACACACACACACACACACACACACACGTAGTGCCTTGCTCATTGAACGAAAAGCTCGCATTACTCATACGCCGCGTTGTTCGCGTGCTATTTGCTTGTTTGCGCTGGCTATCAACGTGACTTGGCTGTTGAGCACTGGGCGGTCTCTTTTACTGTTTCTGTTGCCGTTTCTGTTTCTGTTTCGTTGTGTGCTATCACTCGGATTGTCTGATACGTTTCACATGCTGCAATTAACGCAACAAATTGCATTTTTAATATGCGCAAATTAATGTGGAAAATCTTCCATTTTTTTGTTACCCTCTCTCTCTCTCTCCCTCTCCCACAGAGAGCTTTATTTATAACAGTCATTGCGAAAATTGAAAATGCACAATTAAAAGCACGCCTATACTATACATCTGTATATATATGTATATGTATGTATGTGTATAAGGATGAGCGTGTCTGTAGCTCTACTCGCTGACCCTTTTTAAAATAATATGATAAAATGCCATTACAAAAGTCAAAGTCGAACTTCGGCTCGACTGCAGGAAGCAGCTGTTAATTAGTTTTTTTTTTTTTTTTTTTTTTTTGCGAGTGCAGCTCTTCAGGACGAGGTCCTGCTTTGGCAGCTATCCATCCCCCGTGTGCTGTCGCTGTGCAAATGTTTTAATTTCCGCACGAATGTCTCTAACGGAAATTACATAAAAAGAAAAAAAAGCATAAAATAAAACAACAAATATAACGAACTGATAACTGCGACCTACTGCCGAATGTCTGTGCCTTGTGTGACCAAAACAATTAGCATACTCAATTCTGCTCGATACTAAAAAGAAATGAGAGATACTAACTATAGAAATGAACGCTCAGTTTGTGTTAAGCGCTGAATTAGCTCACTAGTAATTCGTTATTACAGCTCTTTGAGTCCCGATCAGATAAGACTATGGAATTAGAGAGCTTCGAGCACTACAACTGGGGGCTATAGCTAATTGACTTGCCTCGAGTCTCTTCAAATTGCAAAATGCTGCTGATCGCGATTGTTGTGCTGCTCTTAACGAGTTGGTTCCATTGGCGCCAAAGGGACAGGCGAGCGGCCGTTGCCAATCTGCCAGGCCCCTTCTGTCTCCCACTAATCGGAGCCTGGCATCTCGCCATCAATATGACTCCCAAAAGTACGTATCAAGTGCATGACAAGTGTTATGTGAGTTGATGTGGAGCAGAGTCCAAAGTGCATTGAATATTCCATTGATTGCTCTCGACTGCTTCAGTTCTCAATATGTAAATAGTTTTTAAATAATTAAAAAAAAAAAGTACATTAAAATTACATAAAAAAGATTTACAGTGAGCTTTTTGTTAACAAAGGCAGTCGAAATTCATGTCTTATAGCAATTATAAATATCAAATTGGTAAGCTTAAGTCCTTTCAAACTGGACTCCCCATATAGAATTGCGAAACGTTGCTTTTGCATCAGCCAGAGGATCAACGTCATCAATGAACAAAGAATATTATTCTTCCGGGCTTTAGTCTTTCGCAGCTCGATCAATGATTATAATAATCAATAATTCAATAATTCTATTAATGAAACCTTATCATAATTGCATCCATTATTAGACTTCAATTTCCTTCTGTTATCTATTTGATTATAAACAAAGAAGTAGGTAGTAAATAATCTATAAATATTATAATCTTCGCTTAATAGCTATTAGACTATGAACGAGTACTACGACATTGGGACATTTCTAAAAGTCTTATCTCAGTGCATTCCAATAAGAAACCAATTGTAAACAAATAAGTGAAGTACTCCAAAATTAAGCAATCCCTATCGTTGCTGTTATCAACATTATATTAATAAATGTTTGCAAATAATATTATTGATTCCCCGCAGCTTTTATTGAACGCTCCCAAAAATACTTCAGGCAACTGGGAAAATTGCAGCGTGCATGGGTACTAAATCGTTTGGTAATCGTCAGCGGCGATGTGGAGTTCAATGAGCAGCTGATGTCCAGCCAAGAGCACTTGGTCAAGCATCCGGTGTACAAGCTGCTGGGCCAGTGGCTGGGCAACGGCCTCCTGCTCAGCGATGGCAAACTTTGGCGTCAGCGGCGCAAGATCATAACACCGACCTTTCATTTCTCGATCCTCGAGCAATTCGTGGAGGTCTTCGATCAGCAGTCGAATGTGTGTGTGGAGCGTCTGGAGCAGCGTGCCACTGGAGAGTGCTTTGACGTCTATCCCTTTGTCTGCCTGGCTGCGCTGGATATCATTTCAGAGACGGCGATGGGCACCAAAGTGAATGCGCAGCAGGCAGAGAGCACGCTCTATGCCAATGCCGTAACGGAGTAAGTGGGAGGTGTATTGAGATGGGTTATATTGCGCTGGGTCTCTGGAAGTTAGTGTGCTAGAGCACACAGATGTTGCAGGAGAGTTGATTTAAAATGGGATCAGGCAATTCTTAAGTCATGATTAAACCATGAGTCAACTAGATTAGGATAGGACCCTTCGGACCTAGGACCCTTCCTCCTCCTGCCTCCTCCTGTCTATCCTACCTGCTTGCTTTCATAGGCATTCTATAACACTATTTATATAATACCACTCCCCTACCCCCTCCCATCGACAGATGCACTGCCTTGATGGCCTGGCGCTTCATGTCGTTGATCCAGCAAAACGAGCTGCTCTTCACACTGACCCATCCACATCTGAAGCTTCGCCAGATGAAGCTCATACGCATCATGCATGAATTTACTGCGCAGGTGATTAAGCAGCGTCGCCAGGCCTTGGAGGCGATGCAGGTGGCGGGCACAGAGCAGCAGCGGGATGAGGAGGTGGGCAGCAAACGTCGCATGGCTCTGCTCGATGTGCTGCTGCAGGCGAGAGTCGATGGACGAGCGCTGAGGGACGAGGAGATATGCGAGGAGGTGGACACGTTCATGTTCGAGGGCCACGACACCACAACTAGTGGCATCTCTTTCTGCCTGTGGTGCATCTCACGGCATCCTGAGGTTCAGGCCAAAATGTTGGCAGAGATCCTGGAGGTGCTGGGCAGCGATCGCAGTCGAGCCGTTAGCATGCGAGACTTGGGCCAACTAAAGTATGTGGAGTGCGTCATCAAGGAGTCGCTGCGCCGATATCCGCCTCTGGCGCTCGTCGGGCGCAAGCTGCAGACGGACTTCAGATACAGTAAGTGACTGAGACTAGCACTGGGCAATCTCTAGTGGAGACTCTCTGCTTGCAGCGCACTCCAAGTTCGGAGCGGGCGTCATTCCCTCTGGGTCGGAGATTTTCATGATAATTTATGGCATGCACAATGATGCGGATTACTTTCCAGAACCAGACCTCTTCAAGCCGGAACGTCATGAGAGCAGCGAGCGCTCCTCCACAAACTTTTCGTACGCCCCCTTTAGTGCCGGGCCGCGCAATTGCATTGGCCAGAAGTTCGCCCTGTTGGAGATGAAGATGCTGCTGGCCAAGATCGTGCGCGAGTACGAGCTGCTGCCGCTGGGCGAGCCAGTGCAGCCGGTGGTCAACATTGTGCTGCGCTCGGATACAGGCTTCCAGATGGGCATGCGCAAGCGTGGCCAGCAATAGGGGTATTCCCTGAGTAATTTAAGCTATGTTTATTTTGCTGAATTAAAACTAAAGTCTATCTAGCTAATTATGATCTAGTCAATCTTTTTACGTGGCTGCAGCGCCAGCTGAAAGCCATTGCTGGAGCCCAGCGCCAAGCACAGCTGCGGACGCAGTGCATCGCCATAGGGCAGCAGCTCGTACTGCAGCAGCAGCGGCGCCACCAGCTGCTGCAGGAGGCTCAAGCTCATTTGCTGCGCCGGACAGCTGCGTGGTCCCAGGCCGAAGCTGAGCAGCTCGACGGGCTGCTCCAGAAAGCGCTCGGGCTGAAAGTGTTGCGCCTTAGTGCCATACGCCTGCTCAGCGCGCTGCAGCTCATAGAGATTCATGTAGATCTCAGTACCGGCAGGCAGCGAGCCAGCGCCCAGCTGGGAGTGAGCTGTGAAAAGAGAGAGAGAGAGAGTGTGTGAATATTAAGTTACATAAGTAATAAATTCCTTCACCTACTGTACTCAAAGTCCTGACTCAGCTCACGGTTTACGATCACCTGCGGTGGCTGCAGTCGCAGTGTCTCTTTGAGCACCGCCTCCAGATAGGGCAAGCGCTCCTCCTTTGAGTCCTTCGCCTCTCGCAGCTCATCCAGACAACGTTGCTGCACCGCCGGATGTCGTGCTATCAGCACCAGGGCAGAGCAGAGAGCGCTGCTGCACAGCAAATAGCCCAGGAAGCTGCAGCAGTTGAGCTCAGCGAGCAGTTGGGCATCGGTCAGCGATGCTTCGCTCGTGAGCAGCAACTCGAGCAGCGATTGGTATTTCACTCTGGGCACCGGCTCAATGCGATCAATTGTGATGCCCTCGATCTTTATTTGATTACTGCTTAGCTTGTGCTGTCGGCGCTGCTCCAGCATCTGTTTGTTCTCCTCATTGATGCGCCGAATGAGCCGTTGCTGTCGTCGTCGAGTGAGAGGCGAGCAGACCCAGAAGGTCAGACGATTGGCTGATCTGACGCTCAGGAAACGCTTGCGATAGAGCTCTGTGAGTCTGTTGGGAGTTGGGAAATTTGATGGTTGATAAAAATAGGTAATGGGAATCAAATCAAATGCTAATTAATGACGGAATAAGATCATAAGAAAGATAATGAGAATTAAATATCATATTATTTAATTAACTTAGATTAGAGAAGTCTCAAACTTTGATTAGAAATATTTAAACTAACAGTTGAATCCCGAGACACTATTCAAAATATTAAACACAGTTCAGGATATGAAAATCAGTTTTCGGAACTAGTTCAAATTACTAAAATAGAAATGCAGAAAACTATGTATTTAACTCTACCAAAGTGTTGCCAGCTGTTGACCTCCGAAATAAGTTCAAAATTAGTTACAGTAATTTTTTTCTGCTCATCATAATAATCGAAGTATTTTCTCTAAGTCTTTGCTCTAATATTCTGCCTTAAGTCTTTTAGGTCGTGCTTCTAAGTTTTCCTCTCACTCGTTCCTCTAAGTCTTCACACATTTCACCTCACTGAACAACTGACCTCCGCTAGGCCTGGACGACTGAAGAAATGTTACAGCTGCTGCCCTTTATATAGGGCTACTTTCACCCGAACATTAGTCGCGCTCAAAGGTTGTGCCCGATGCCAGGTAGAGCTCATAGCAGTCGGGCTTTGAGTGATCAATGGGAATACTCTCTTCGGCTTTAAGCAGGCTTCGTTCACATATAAACACCAAATGAGTACTGCTGCACACATATAGACAGCAGAAATGATCTTCTGCAGTCTTCTTCTTCGGCCCTTGCAGTTAGACAGAGAGTTCGACGGAGAGACAGACTGTGAGATAGTCAGGGAGATAGACAGAGAGAGAGAGAGAGAGAGAGAGTGAGAGAGAGAGAGAGGGAGAGAGTGAGAGTGAGAGTGAGAGAGAGAGTGAGAGTGAGAGTGAGAGAGAGAGGGAGAGAAAGAGAGATAGTGAGAGAGAGAGAGAGAGAGAGTGAGAGAGTGAGAGTGAGAGAGAGAGAGAAAGAGAGAGAGGGGGTATACAGACAAACATTCGAACTGATATTCCATCATAAATTGAATCAGTATGAGCTAATATGGAACTAACTCCTGCCGTGCTAGATGTTCAATTGTAATTGCTGAACCAGTTTGAGCCTGGAATAAACTTGTAAACTTAGTTTTACACTCCAAATCTCAGCATAAATCAAAATGAAAAACTAGCCTATATACCGTTACATGCCCGGCTACTCACTCTTTAAATGCCTGTTTGTAGTGCTCGCTCGGCTGCATGCCACAGCTGATGCATAGCATCAGGTCCAGCACATTGTCGGACACTAGCTGCCACACATCAAAGAGCTGTCGCGCTTCCGCCCGAGCCGCTAGCTGCTGGCAGAGCTGCTCGGCCTGCTGCTGAAACAGTTGGCTCAATTGCAACAGGTTGTCTGGGCGGGAGAGTGAGGCGAGTATCTGGTGTCGCGGTGGCCAGTGCTGCGATTGGCAGGTGAGCAAACTGTCACCCAGCCAGTCGCTCATCAGCTCGTGGCCCGTCTCCAAATGCGTTTCGCTCTGCAGCAGTTGCTTGGCCAATTCCAGGTCGGCGACCGGTATGAAGAGTCTGTGAAAAACCCAAATTCGGCTCACAGCGCCATATTTGGCCAGGTAGACAGAGCTGCGCTCGAAGAAATCTGTCGAGGTTGAAATTTTTCAATGTCTATATAAGTAAATCGAGTTTCGTTTCTTTTATTTATTTTTTTTAGTTCTTACTCTTTGGCGATAGCAGCACAATTTTGTGCATGGCACCCATTAGGGGCCAGGTGAAAGGTCCTCCTAGGTTCTTGATAAAACCGCGCTGTCGACGTTGCCTCAAATAATTGAATGCCGACACCAAGCAGAAACACACAAAAATGCTGGCCAAGATCATTTTGTGAACTGTGAACGCAACCTCAACTGCAAGTGCGTCCGACTCTCGGCGATTGGAACCGGTTTATGGCCGAGCCACTGGGGGCATATTGGCTATCTCAAGTGTTTTACGATTTCAGCTAGCGCTTAACCGATAAGCCCATATTTTGAATACGCGAACAGCATGTTTTTTTACTAATATTAATTTAATTGGAGAGTGGGTAAAGCTATTATGAAAAAATAAATATTTTTTTTGAGTTAGAACA